GATCAAGAAGTCTGGGTAAGGTGTAGGAAGTATATTCTACAAGCAACAGCAGATACCAAGTCAGGCAGGCAGATCAGATCAAGCATACAAGCCAAGCGTATTTATACAATTATTTACAATCGATATTGTCATAGGAAATTTTTAAACATTAATCAATGAGTTCATTAATTGACCTATTTGCGCATTTAATCGATAGCTCATCAATTGACTGCTATTCAAACATTTAATCGATCAGTTCATCAATTGACCCCAATACAAATATTTAAACGTTGATCAATAAGTTGATCGATGCGATAAAATTCAAAATATGAGTTTGGGGATCTATCGTCCCCAACACCTTTCTAACTTACAACTAACACAATCATGAAGTATTTGTCGTAACAGATGAAAAAGTTCACTATTTTTAACATATATCACAATAATTATTGGTTCTATAACTGTAGAAATTTTAGAAAACAATTGTCCGCTCAACTATTCCCTGTTTTTGAATTTTCTTGTTTGACAGTTTTTTTTTAAAATAGATATTTTCAATTTTCATTGATGATGTTTTGAAATGTAGCATATATATGGTGTACTCAGAGATATTCTTCTGTCATAACAAATTGACATCAATTTTAGTGATTGAATGTTCAGAGTTGTTAAGTTTTCAATTAGTTAGTCTCGGGTTCTAACCACTCAATTTGTCTGTCACCTACTTCGACTTACGCAACTGAGTGTTGTCACTTTTCCTCACATTTACAAAATGTGACCCAAAGCTAGGTATATAAACCTGTACTTGATAAGTGAAGTACGAAACATTTTAATTACATTATCGGTTCTTCAGTTGAATTTTTAGTTTCATCCTCTACCTTCAATGTATAGTTTTAGTTTCTTTCTTTATTCAAACGATTTTATCAAAAAGTACATGTGAAGACCCCATTGTAGATAGTTGAGGTTCACATAGTTATTTTAACGAATGAATCGATCTTGAGTTCTGAAATTATTTGGTATTTTTATTCCATTCTTTTCTACTAATATCATTGATACATTTACTCTTTCATCAACTCTTGTGTCACAACATGAAAATCAAACTAATTTCTTATGTATAACTATTAATTTACTCTATATTTATACAAAGTAAATATTTTTTGTCACTTTAGAGTTATGAATATTGTTAAATCTCATTGGAATCACTTAATTGATCTAAGTTAAATAACCATCGAAAACCTGAAAACACTAGACAGTCATTTCATTCTAATATGAGACTCCTTAGTAATACTTTATATTTGCTTTACACTAAAATAATGAATAAACCGTTTAATTCCTTTCTTCCTTTTACACCTCTTTTTTATGAATAGGCTGATGAATTATTGGACCATGTAATATTGGATGCTTTTCATTATTATCATGGTTTAGTTATTGATGGACATCGACATGCATGGGATCCTTGTTTAGTATTAATTATTACACAATTAATTCAGTTATCACCTTCATCAAGATTTCATAAACATGCTACTTGTCTATATCCTGGTCTGTGTGATTTAGTTGCAATGGCTGGTGGTATTTCACCCCAAGTTGCTGCCTTAATGCGTGTTTTTCTGTTACGTTGTGGAACCTTCTTCATACCTATGACCAGTGGTGGTGGTGGTAGTAGTAACAATAGTTCTACGAAAACGGAAAATTCTTCATAAACAGTATAAATTTACATATGTATCTTTACGTTTTGATTGATTACTAGATAATTCATTTGAAGTATATTGGAGTGCCAAAGAAAGAAATATCTATATGGGTAGTGGGATATATATATATGTCGGATTCAATAATTTTATTTATTCTATCCATTTCTCTCATATACTTATCTTTCATAATTTTCTTATTATTTTTCATTGTTTTCCACTATTAAAATCTTATTATATAAAAGCTTAAGAATGTATCATCATAATCATTATTTTCTTTACTTGTTTGTGCGCGTATATGTGTTGTTCTTTCTTCTTTCTCAAATGAAGTTCTCTTTAGATTTACATTCCATAAAATTTGTGATAAACGTCGATTAGTATTCCTTGTCTTCGTCTTCTCCTTTTGTTTTTTTTTAAAAAAGACAACTAATTATTTTATTTATTCGAAATTATCCATGAATTCCACTACCCTTAACACGTATCATTAATTCTATTTTATTTGTCAATGTTGTCGGAAAAAGAAAATAAGGAGAAACACAATTATTATGGTCTACATTAATATGAATTTATTCAATAATCCAGTGCCTTTTGATAAAATTAAAGTTTTGTAACTGAACGCTTGACATTGATGATGATTTGGTGTTATTGTTTTGTGATGCTTATCGTTCAAATTAAAACAAATCACTTATTATGTTGTGTTTTATTTTTTGTTTGTTTGTTTTTTAAGAAAAAAACAAAAGATAAACAATTAGTGAATAATTGTTTCACTGTTTTGTTGATATTCAATGGCATAACATATTGTCTAAATGAACAAATGAAAATACTTTACCCTATTATTATACATCTTTTATTCTTTTCATTGCATATCATTATGTGTTGTTCATTGTTATTTTCTTCATTATAATCATAATTATCATCACTGTATGTAAGTAAATGAAGAACAATGATAAATATTCTATTACATAACTACTGTAGTTGTTCACGTGTTACAGTTTCTCTTGTAATTTAATTAATTTGTTTCCCTTGTCAATGGCTGTGCGATTTCACTAAGAACTATTCATCTTTACACTGATTTTTGTCATTTTTTTGCGTGCATTCCCCTCATTTATTCACTAACTGGGTTTTGTCTCTCTCATCATGTTGTGTTTTCTTTTCTATTATGTGAATATTGTATTATATTCTTTTCGGATAACAATTTCTAATCTATATTTAGACAACGTAGAACATTCTTTTCTGGTTCCCTATTCATCACTAGTACAATTATATAATTGTCATCAGTTCCTTGTATTCATGACAGTGATTGGTGGTTAGCTGATTACTTAACTATTGTTATTGTTATCGTTTGTATTGTCACCAATTTTCTCGCATTATTTTCAAATTTACTGAAACATATAACCCTCTTTATTTGTTTATTTATTTTCTCTCAAATGTTTCTTTGTTTATTCTCCGGAGATTTGCTGTGTGAATAATTTTGTCCTGTTTGTTTATTCATTGTAGGCTATTCATTATTTTATCGTTTTAGAGCAATAAAAAGTTACCTATTATTATTGTTATCATGATTATTACTATTGTTCTTACCATAGTGATGACTGTTCTTTTGAATATTATCTTTTTAAAATAATAACAATAATCGTCCAGTGTAAACAAAAAGGTCATTTATAAAATTAAATAATTTTTCTTATTATTATTTGTTATTTTTGTACTGTGTAGGTAACATATAACTCATATCTCCTAAAAGATAACATCTAGTTTGAATTACATATTTATCAATAGACAATATGACTGATCTAAGAACTTTTGCAAAAGTAGTATGTGATCGGTACTTAACCCGTAGTTATCATTAATACCGTTTTCTCAGCTGAACAGTTCAATTAGAGCATTGATGAGAATTGATCTTAACTACTGTAGGACATAATACGGTCAGCCAGTTATTGCCAAAAAGACAATCGAAAGGTATATATGGAGAAGTGCTGGAATTCAAGATTGAGGGTAAGATGAGGGGTGGATTCATCTGCACCATTGTGAGAGATTCTGAGCAACTTTATATAGTCTCTAACCATCGATCACGTTTCTTGCGTGAACCCGAACCATGTAGTCTGGATCTACCAGATGGACAATCAATGACCTCATGGATTGATGTTCTAACTTGGGCGCCTTCAGCTTTCTTCCGACCCGTCAAGGTATGTAGTGGTTAGGAATATCTAACATCTTCCAGACACTCCAGTCGACAAAGATTACCTCATTTACCGGTTTCCCATCTTTGCTTAGCACTTAATAGTTTAACCTAAACGATGTTAACTCGGTTGTTGCACAAGATGTAAGCATTGTTTGCAGCCATAAAATAATACGTAATGGACTGCTGTACAATATACATGCTTTTGATTGACAGAGACATCTCATTTACGCCACAAGTGACATCAGTTTTCTAAACCCTACCAAGCACTCAGAATCCTTGGCAAGATTCCGTCAGACACCAAACATTCAGGGTTGGTAATACTCCTAAAGTAAATGAAGCTTTCAATAGCTTCAAGTACCTCACTGCCGTGAAGCAAATTATCCAAGTGTGGAAGATTAAAAACAGAGACTATAATTGTAGAAGCATAAAAACATGAAGAATATTGAAACCCGTAATCTAGAGGAAAATGTTTGTGTGCTAACACGACCGATTTTGAGTCGTGTCTCGTAAGATCTGTTCAATCTATTATCGCGATTGTCACTCCGATCCCAACCAATTAATCTGAACTCACCTAGGCAGCTCAGAAGGATAATGGACGAGTTCTTAGATGGATTTTACTTGGTGTAAGATGGTTTGAAGTGATCATTATGGAATCCTGAACTTATGTTTCGTGCCAGTCGACTCTCATCAGCAAGACGTAACTTCAGTCTTTAAGGAAATTGTGCTTTCTATGAGGTTCAAACCTGTATACCTCACCTCTACACTAAGAAAGTGCCAGCGAGGTATTCGAGACGACCAATTTGCTTCGAAACGTATTGTTTACAATACTCAGCCCCTTAGTTTGGTGCGCAGATCATAATTTGATTGATAGAATACAATCAGTGCTAGTTACAAGACGAACATGAAATTAGTCACTATTTAGTAATCAGTCAAGTTTCCAGACTACCGAGAATTTCATTTTGTAAGATTGCATTTCAAACAGGAAATTTTATTAGATTGTATTATCCTTTATTTTGTTGGCCAATTTCAGGATTTCTCGACTTAATCCCCGACCAACATAGTATATCGGTTTGTTCATGATTAAACGTTTTACTCATAAGACATTCATACACTAAACAGTTTACTTGCACTAAATTTTGTATTTAACTTTAACAGTATTCACAATATTTCCACTGCAAGATTTTGGTACTTAAAAAATACCAACTACACGAACAATACATAAATATTTTCCGCTTGTCATGATCACTTCACGGTTTAATAGCAAAATATAATGAACTCCCAAGGCGAATATTGTCAATTTTGACAGCCACTTGGATATCTCTTCTGTCATGTGGATTGGTGAGCTCGAAAAAAATCTATCAAATCCTCTTGAAATATCAACTATAATGAAACAGTTTACTCCTTATTTCGTCAAGAGTTTAACCATAGCATTTTCGAACAAGAATTTTATTTAATAAAGTTACATAAATCCAAATATATCTGTATTATAGATGAATTAACGAATTCAAAGATAAGTTAATAGAATAACTCAACTGACTACAAATAAAGAATGTTGTATAAAATGTCATGTTGAACTTTTAATGCTTATCGGTGGTTAACTTTAAGCAATCTACATTCACATACAGATGTTATGTTTACAGTTCAATGTGTAAATTGATGTTTAATTACGACGTTGTGATGTAAATCTACTTTGTTGACGTATATGATAGAATATAAGGATAGATATGATTATAATTAAAACAATGATAATTGGTAATAATGTACTAAGTGTTGCAATGAATGCATATTGAATATTTTGTGATTTCTGATTATTATGAATAATATTATTATTATCAATATTAAATTCATTAGGCTCCTCCCAACGACCATTAATTTTTCTAATTATATTACCATTTTTATCATGTATTTCATTTGAACTTGATTCAATGAAATTGTTTGAATCCCTTAGTTTAAATAAATGTGAATCATATGAAAGCTATTTTCAAAATAAAGAAATAAAGAATAGTTGTATGGTAAATATATGTCTATAGAAGGATAGGAAAAGAGTGCATCATAAAGTGATTTGAGACTTCAATTATAAAGTGAGTTTACATAATAATCAGTGGGTTAGGGAAGGATCGAAGGATGAAAATAAATTATGGGTCATATCTGTTAAGCGGACAGTTATCTTTCATAATTCTGACCTGTAAATTTTTAGAAAGAAAACATTTATCAAATTCTCAAGTAGATACCTGTCTCTACCCGACATGGATTGAGCTCCACTGGTCACGGTTTTTCACAAGAACTCCAGGAATTCATCTTGAAGCCAGTCATTAATGAGTACATAATGATTATGATCAGAATGGGGATCTGTGGAGACTGTAATAATTTTAATAGATGAATTAATGAGTCGATGTAAGCTAGACCACCATTGAAAATCTGGATGAGCTGGACAGCATTTTCGTCCTAGTATGAGACTCCTCAGTAGTGCACATCCACGATCCCACATGCGGGACTCAAATCCAGGAACTTTGGTCTCGCGCGCGAATGTTTAACCTCTAGACCGCTGTTAAAGTGACTACATACATCCAGCTAAATCGTACCATGAAAATAAATATTTTAAATGATACTTCCAGATTACTGGAGAATAAAAAGTTGAATAAAAAAGAAGTAAATAGTTTAAAAATTAATCTTATTAAATTGTAATGAGAGCAGAGTAAATTTTAATAGAGTGATACACATTGTTTATTTACGTTACCAAGATAGGTGAGTATTAATCATCTACATTTCCCAAATACAAAAGTTAAATTAATCCACCTAGTTACTGTTGTTTTCAACCAATCTAAATAGGATGAGATTATTCTGTTTATTGATTATTTCAACTCATAGGATTATACAGTAATGATAATTCGATTGTACACAGTTTAGTTAGTTCTAAGTAAATGTATTCTATAAAATTTGTAGATAATTACCAAAATACCTCTGTGGGATGTAAATGAGTGGTTTACTTTGGTTGGTTAAACAATATTTTGTTATGTATTTAACTTACAGCATTCACTTCATATTAATTATATATTGTAGTGTCAGTTACTATGTCAAGTCCATATACCTTATTCTAGCTTTCTAACAGGCCAATCTATTCGTTCTTCTTGATTCACATTTTGACCTTGTAACTTATTCGCTTGTCAACCTTGACTACTTTTACGTAAGCGTATGTTTCGATAATGTAATAAGAAGACGAATATTATCAGAATTATGTGATATATTAGCGCAATACATTTCGAACAATCTGATCACAAATATACTTGTTAAGAGCATTTATATATATACATCACCTTACCATTCAGAGGTGATTCAAATAGCCTTTTATTGAAACAAAGACTTAAATCAGTTATCAACAAAACGTATTACGCAGCAAAGGTCATTATCAAAGAAAGAACAAGGTGCATGCTTCATCCCAAACCTAAAAGACATGAAAACAATTGTGTCACATCCCACTGTGTTTACCAGTTTAAATGTGTGTGTGGTCACCCATACTTAGGGAGGAGCAATCGTGATCTAAAAATTAGGGGGTGTGAACATGTACCAAAATGGTTGTAGAAACAAATACAATCAAGTGACCCAATAAGAGTAGAGGATAAACATCCATAATCCTCTGTTGCTAAACATATAGGCGAAAAGGGCCGTAAGATTGATCTAAACTCGGCTTTTTGGGTTTTGTATAAATGTGTAAAAGGGCGTATACGAAAATGCAAACCCCCTTTGTGTTCAAAAACAGTTTGTTCTTACCTTAAACCTACTCTGGTAATTTTGACTTATTATCCAGAGTGATTAGGTTTCGAATTATGTTCACATCATTATTACTCTTATTATTATACTTATCTCCTCTTACCCCATTTCCATTCTAGTTGACCTTTTATTTTTGTATATAAATGCTCTTAACAAGTATATGTGTGATCAGATTGCTCGAAATATATTGCGCTAATATATCACATAATTCTGATAACCTTCGTCTTTTTATTACATTATCGAAATTTATCAAAGGGACTAATTGCTTTAAGTAAGCGTATGTGTTTACACTTCTTATCCTCTTCATCACATGTCTGTAATTTATTTTTGTGTGACTATAAATATCAATTAACGCTTGACTAAATGGGGTTGGCTTACACGCCTCCTCCACTGCGAGTCACTTCGTATCGCTCTCTTCTCTCCACTTCTCCGATCTTTTGTCTGGACCAACGATTGTATGGAGTATACGTATTCGGAATTTATTTCCGTATTCGATTTATTTTATTCCGTTATTCATCAAGTCGATGAAATATACGAGGACAGACGACATGTGTATTTTGACAACAATCAATCATATGATTCAGTTGGAGTCAGATATGGGGCCATTAAAATATTTCATTGTATTTACTAAAAAAAATGCATATTATCTGCAATTCAAGCTACAAGAGTACATTGGAATTCAGTGGATTTATTACTTTTTTTGTAATATGCTTCAGTTTTAACAGAGATAATGAATGTATGATTTGAGTCAGTGCCCAATCTGTTTTAACAAAACAAGGCCAATGGTGGGATATTACCCATCCAAGTTATCATCGAAGTGTGATCAGTTCTAGTTGGTCTGTGTTTAATGAGAATTCTGTATGAATACCATATGCTCACTTGGCTTTGTCTAATTTTCATTCATTTTATGAAAGGTGAAACGTCTACTTGATTATCAGATTATTGTATTGTGAAAAAAATTATCTCCATATTACTTCACCAGTGTGCTAAGTGGCATTTGAGGTTAGAACATTTGTGTAGATTGTAGTTATTTGAACATTTCACTATAAAACAATGATCGCCTGTAGTGGAAACACTATATAGTTAGTTTTAAGGTACTATGTAGAGATGATAAATTTACCAATCAGACTTTGAACTTTTATTGATATATGGATTATCCACATCGAACCCCTACATTTATTGATACATTATCCTTAATAACATAGTAAACTGGAAGAAAAGATAAAGACACAGGGAAAGACATTGTTTTAAACCGTTCAATCAGTGACTTTTAAGCAGGAGTTTCACACTTCCTACTTGATTTCCCTAAAATAATCATAATCTATGGTTTGATTTGACTAGAAATCAATCGCAATTCTATCAATTCACATCATTTTTGTCTTTTTTTTCCAAATCTTGATTTTTAACATTATCTTATCCTTTTTACTATAGATCGCCTTTATTTCTTCGAAAAATATTTAGTGAGTTTTTCAATATTTCCTTTACCGGGAAAAACTCGTAAATCTACAGATTCCTGTTTATATAACAGTATGAACTTATAAAGGGATGATCCAAATCTTTGACAACTCAGTTACCAAGTTGTCCTTTACTTATGCTTTGAACTATGCTTTTTATATATAGCCAAGTTATATTACTCTATTCTTCAAATCAAATTTAGTAAAGAGGTATGTAAACATACATTTCAGTGGTTAAAAATCAAGTCATTCATAATTTTAAAGTGCATTTCTACCGTGTAATACACTGACTAATCACGTTGTTTTTCTTATGTTTTACAACAACTTAGTACATATCCTGGTTTAATGGAATTTAATGGATGTAATTAATAAACAAGGTGTTTAAAATACACTAAAATAGTGTTCATGTAATTATGATCTAAATACACCTGATATATAATCTAGTGTCGTTTACTGTGTTAAGCCTATACACCTTGTTCTAGCTTCCGGACAGGCCAATCTATTCATTCGTCTTGAGTCATATTTTGATCTTGTTAATTATTCGCTTACCAACCTTGACTATTTTTATGTAAGCGTATGTGCGTGAATTTCTCATCTTAATCATCACATGTCTGTTAATTATTTTGTGTGAATATAATTATCGATTAACGATTGATGAAATCGAGTTGGCTTACACGCCTTCTCTTTGCTCGTTTGTCTGGATCAACGATTGTACAAAGTACACTTCTTCGAAATTTGTTCTCGTATTATTTAATTCCGTTATTCACTAACGCGATTTAAGTCGGAAATAATATACGAGAATAGTCAGGATGTATATTTCGATAGCAGTCATTCAATAACAATCATTCATACGATCAACCTGAAGTCAGATCTCGGGCCACTAAAGTAGTGGGCCCGACGTGATGAGTAGGATAAGACGTACATATACATACGCTGATATAAAAACATTCAGAGTTGATAAGTAAATAATTGACAAAGTCAAAACGTGACTCAAGAAGAATGAATAAATTGGCTTGTCCAGAAGCTAGAATAAAGTATATGGGCTTAACAAATTACCGACACTACGAAACACTAAACTTAAAAAAGTATGCTCACACCCACGCCTGTGCAATTACAAAATGGAATCAACCTTTAAATCTGTGGTTGTGCTTATTTTGTCATTTTTTTTCTGTGCATAATCGACAATTACTTACTTCAGTCAAAATAGATCTACCATATGGATCATTTGAAAATGATGGTAATTTCTCTTCTTTTGTATAAATCTGTAAGAATTTGTTAAACATGTATGCATATTTATGTTGTTGTGTTTACAGTGTTTTTGTATACATGAATATCACCTTTCATAATAAAGCCACAGTTTTATTTTAAATTGAAACAAATAAGTACACTGAAAATTGAAACATTGATTAAATTCATTGGCGTTACAATTTGATATTTATGGTTTTTCTATAGATAATGACCATCTTAAATAAAGGAAACATACAAAACAGATTAAATCACATACTGGGATCATCTACAATAACTATCCGTTTTGTACTTTAGCATATACAACCTTCTTGGTATTGTTGTGAAGCTGAATGAATAAGTACGAAATGATATATGAATAATATATACCTATCTACTACTTATTTTGGTGTGGCTTATTGACTATGTTCAGGTGAAAAGACTAAATCATGGTTTCATTTCATGAATTGACTAAGAGATGAAATGATACATGTAGGATGATGCAGATTTTCTTATCTGTATACAACAAATCAACTAAATGGATACATACAATACAGATTATTGGCCTCAGAAAGTTTATCTAGTTTGCTAGGCATGTACATATACATATATGCATTTAGGGTATGAGAGGGAGATTTAATTCAACAGTATTCGTCCTTACTTTAGAGTAGAACAACAAATTATTATCTTCCATCAGTGTAAACGTACTTTTATGTAAAACCATACCTTCGTTTTCATTTGTTTTACAGTTTCGAAATTTAATTCTATACCTTAATTACAAAAGTATTTACCGATGTCTGTATAGTGAATAGATAGAATTATTAAATATAATCTCTTAGTCAAAGATTTCTCATCTGTATAAATTTCATAAAATTAAATCCAAAGTAATTATTTTATTTATATTTAGAAAATATTAATCAGCGCTTACTGGTAGAATAAATGGAGGCCGTTTCAATTGACGTCTTACTTGTTCTTTTAAGAAGTTTGCTTGAACGCAATAATTTACCTGTCAAAATATTATTATAGAAATAATAATAATATTTTTTAAGAGTAAGAATTTTACTATTTCTATAATAAATTTTATTTGTTTTAGTTATTGGTAATTGTTGTATAATCAAAAAAAGTATAGAACGAATTCAAATCTTTCATTTCAATATATCCAGGACACGCGTTTCATTCTATGTGGGACTCATCAGCTAGATGTACCTGCATCTCAGAGTTGATGTTCACTCTGGATTCCACTGCTAGCCATTATCCATCTTTACATTAAATGCTTGTGAATTAAGGCTATGTCGAGGCAATATGCACAGTATGTACATATGCCAATAAGGGACTAATCAATTACAGTCCTAAACACCAATGGGTAGATTCAAACAAACATTATCAAGTGAATTTTGATATGCTGTTTATTTCTCATTATAGGAGTTTTTCTGTTTTTAATGATCAAGTATTATTAGTATTAGCTTTATTCAATATTATATTTTTGGTACAATATAGAATTTTCAGCGCAAAGTATTTCAACAAGTTTCCATTTCTTATTTCTTGATCGATCCTGACGATAAATATTGGGTGATCATCAATTAGCTGTTAGCAGTTCAGGAATTGACATCTGAATAATGTACATTCTTTTCAATGTATATTGCCAGAAACTACAATGTTTCTGATTGTGCTCTTTCCTAACTCGTACAGAGAAAGGTCGTGAACTTTTCACAAAGGCATCTGAATAGGCTGTGCAATTAATTGACATAATGATCTGTTGAAAAAAAACAAGAGTCAGATAACGTGTTGAAATATCTAGATGGCAGGAACAGGTAACCCAGATATTCAAACAGGCCACCCATATGATCTTGTATTCGGTTAACTCTACAACAAATATATTATAGGCATGGTCTTAATAAATTGAAAATAAGCTGGTACGGTAAAGAGAGAGTTATATGTATGATTTAACTAAACATTTCTTATTTACTCTCTAAGGATGTGATTTTTTCTTTCATTGATGAACTCGGTTAATAATTTTATTACAAAGGTCTTACAATGTAAGATATAGCGGCCTGCTTGAATATCTGGGCTACCTGTTCCTCCGATCTAGAAATTTCATCAAGTTATCTGTTTTGTTGTTTGTTTTAGCACATTATTATGTCTATTGTGCGCACAATCTATTCAGGAGCGTTTATGAAAAGTTTACAACCTTTCGCTATACGGGATACAAAAAGGTACAATCAGCGACATCATGGTGGCTGACAATATGCATTGAAACGAATGAACATTAATCAGATGTGGATTACCGAACTCCTAACATCTAACCGGTCATCATTCAAAATTTATCGTCACAATAGATCAAGGAATAAGAAAAGGAAACTTGTTGAAATACTTTATGCTGAGAATTCTATGTTGTACCAAAAATATAATGTTGAATAAAGCTTCTAATAATAAAAAAATAAAATAATAAAAATATTGCAGTTACTATTGAGTTCTTATTAAGTTTACTGGGTTTCATGAAGCTCGATTCCCGCTTACAGGATCGTTGATGAGCACGTCTGAGGAGTCTTACGTAGGAGGAAGCGGCTATCCAGTTCTTCCACGTTTTGACTTGTGGTTTAACATAAATCGGTTCATGATTTCAATAAAATGCTGTTGTGTTGAGTTGAATACATAATTCAGTGTGTGCATTAACTCAAAAATTACTTTATTATGAATTTTAAACGTATACAGATTGTTAACGCAGTAACCATGATCAAAGGTTTGTTCAGTTAGGTGCTACACTTTTAAATAATGTATGTGGTATTTCATAAATTTTGATTCTCATTTTAAACCATGCTAACTAACAAGAACTCCTATGTACATTGAAGATCTCAGGATATGAAAAATTCTAAATAAAATATATTTGACAAATTAGTGTTTCTCGTATGCAACTAGTTTCAGAACGATTTCTAAATTATATTAAGAGGGTTTTTTTATCATCCTTAATAAGGTATTCAGATGATCCTCATATTCTTGTATAAAAGTCCAAATGAAGGACTGAATGGAAATGTAATTAAATTGGCTTCCCAAACTATCACTATGAAATTATTAGCAAAAGTGGATGTTGGCGAACAGTAAAAACTATGACGTGTGTTTCTTCCTGTTTGGGACTCGTCAGCTGGATGTATTGGCATCCCACAGTTCATGTTAATTCCGAGACTCGTACCCAGTACGGTTTACTTTAAACGCCATTGTATTATTCACTTAACTAATGGGTTCAGATAATCACTAGCTTATGCAATAAAGTGAAATTCAGTTCACTTGTATTAGTTGTTTGAAGTTTCGCGCTGATGTTCACAACTAGAAATGATCGATATCTTTTGAGATATTTGTATCCTTTAACGATTTCCTCGATAGTCCCACTAAAATCACAAGTATTATACGCAGAGATGAATCCAAACAATCAATGAAAAATTCAAGTTCTGTACAGAAATATTTAGAATTAATTAAATTTCAAAACGATGAAATAGGTAGAAACATCATAATCCATTGTATGAAAAAATGGATCCACATAAAAATGAATAATTTCTGTCGAATCTAGAATTCTATTAACCATGAATGATTTATTTAAAGCTTTATTACAAAACAAAACAACTCCAGTCAATATTTTTCGTCTCCAAATTTCAATAAAATAATCTTTATTTGATTGACTATAGAAATGTCATTTTTAATCAAATGAAACTTAAGCAAACATCATAATCATGCAATGAATAATTCATTCTTACTGGTATACAATTAGAACCATTTCAATAAGAAAAAGAAAATTATCCTCAGGATAGGTTTTCTGTTCAGTGAAAATTCCTTTTATATACTCCTTTTAAAATAATATTTGAATACTTATTTAGAATCTAAATTATTTTAATGTCGAAATTCATGACTGAATTTTGATTGTTTAACAGTGGGATCTACAGTATGCTATTCCACTACTAACTACAACCAATATATTATCAAAAGTCTTTCAAATGTTTGAAATATTTATGAAATAAATAAATGTTATGACAATAATGACTTTATTTATTGCTTTATGCTTAGTACGATATGGAATTCTCAGTAGAATGGTTTAACTGCCTAAGTATCTGATGTCTAGACTATGGATTATATATATTATTGACCGATAGTAATAGCACAGTTGCTGAGGACAATCGATCGTATCCTATATCATCAGTATTAGCTGCTAACCATTTGTGGAAAAAACCATACTGTTTCCATTGTTTAAGTTTATGTAAGGCTGGACAAAGTAGAAATCACACTTCTAACTCGTTTTGGTTTTTGTTCCACATTAATTCCAATTTTAATTCAACATAATAATTAGTCATTGTAATATTTTTTTTATTTTGAGTGTCATATTTTGTGCAGTATAACATTAATTCACCGTGAACCTAATTCAGTAGCATATTCGTTCCATTAATTTAGCCTGAGCTTCATTTAGTATGTTATGGACAATAGGTTTTTCTAACAAATTTGCTTATTTTCCCCATATGTGATATTTGTTAAATTAATCATCAATTATGGATGAAATCGATATATAAATGATGGTACTTCCGGGTATAGCAATTGTGTTTCTGCAATATGCAATAAATCTTATTATGTAGTCAGTTCCTGCCTTCTCATTCGTGAAGTGTTCAAAGTAACCAGTCTTTCACAATCTCAATAACTCTTATTTTCGCGTATTCTGCAGTTTTCGGGGTTTGCGTTGTTCATAATGCTCAGAACGAAAGTGAAAATTTCACAATTAGACCGGTTTTTTTGGAGAGCACAATATCACTGAATAGAATCAGTATACCTTCAATTATTTTGTAAAGCAAGAATCTCAAATATTTTGAGATGAAGTGAATTATTCTCATTCGATACACTTGAAACCCTTTGCATATAGACTAATTTTATGAATATGTTGATGTTTAGTAATTAAAGTTTTCTGAGAAATATCCGTAAAGTCATTTAATTCACCATTATGAAAATAGTCATGCATACCTTCCATAATTCTACAGGTTCAATCTATCTAGGAACAGAATAAGCGGTTGAAATCATACTATAAATACGTGCATGAAATAAAATGATAATTCCAATAAAAAGTAATAGTAATGTCATCGTAGCAATTCTAACAGTAATAATAGTTCACAACACACGAGATATGAAATATATTCACTTTACTTTCATCATCATCACAACCAGGTTTTCCATGGTGGTCTAGCTTCAATTGACTCATGATCTCAACTATTGAAATTACTATAATATTCATAAAAACCCCTCCTGGTATTAAACAACCATATTCATTAATGTATTTTTCTAAAAAACACCAAAAAGAAATAATTTAAAGGTATTAATTTTCTTACTTGGCATATATCTTCCATAGCAGCTAAATGTGCTGTATATCCAATTGGACATTTTTTCGGCCATAATGCAGCAAATAGTTGGGAAAAATCATTCTGTACAAATTGGTCATTGAAATTATCATTACGCAACATTGACCTCACTGTTCCATGCTTTTGTTGTTGTTGTTGTTGTGGTGGTGGTGGTGGTGGTGGTGATGGAAGAGTGAATGACATTCGTTCTTGTTGTATTTTAAACCATTCTGGTATTCGAGTATGTTGTCTGTTGCCATCTATATCATCAGTTTGATTAATATTAATTAAAGCAGTTAAAGGATTACCAGAATAACAACTATAGAAACCACCGAATGGTAATGAATATTTACCACCTAATTCACGATCAGTTGATAAACATATACGCATACGTCGACCAAGTGTTATTGGCCAGTAATATTGTGGACAATTATACTGTTTAGTTAAACTGTTCACCTCTTTATCTGTATAAAGACCACCAAATAAATAACCACTATCAATGTTGTCTAATATATTAGATGATGATAATGATGGATCACGTGAACACCAGTAAGATTCAGTAATAGCGCATTGAGTTGTACAGTCGGGATTTTTAAACCAGGATTTTTCACTGCATACACTATAACATTTTCTAATTTGTTGTGGTAACAGTTGTATTGGTGTATAACCTTGTGAACAAAATAAATCACCAGTAAGTGGATTAGGTATAGTTTCACCAAGACATAAATCATCTGGACCAGTACACTTTTGATAAACTCCTCCAAGGTATAAAGTTGAGTTTGTAATTTGTTTACTGTGTAGATCACATTCCGGTGAAGCTACATTTGCTTCATTATCATAAAAAACTGATAAAGGATTCATGCAGCCTGAAAAAATCAATTAAATTTAAACATTAGGGATTACAGTTTAACTACATAAACGGAACTACTTTTTAGCTAACTCAATTACTGTTTTATGGATCTCATCGATAAAACCTGTCTTAAATCCAACACAGGTGAACTTTATTGGTTAAGGCTTCTTACTAGAACCTCAAGAGTTTTCTACTAGTAAGCATTCGATTATGAATAGCCTGAGATCTGAAGTACGAATAATTGGGTACTAACTAAGTGGATCAAAGATAGTGAAGGTTGATTTGATATCTGATAGGAGCATATGCATGCACTCTTGAGAAATCATATAAATGGCTAAACCAAATATTAGGCATATCCGCTTTACTGAAATAGTAGTTACATATTTGTTTGTTAATGATACGAAAAATGAATTCATAGTCAGACAGTGGTGTCGGTGAATTACATGATTAAATACAATGTAAATTGGTATCGAGTCATCTAGTTCACTGATCTAGAATATTTGAATGGTTTGAGAGACTAAAAACATATATGACTATTATTGAGTGTTTTAGTGAAGTGTTATATAACTGGGGTTATCCTAGACGTTATTTTCCACTTTATATCCAAATTAAACTCTGAATAAGATGCTTAAAGCTGAAATGTAATTTGAAATGCCTTTTGCTAATTAGGTTTCCCGTTGAACTGTAGTCACGACTAGGTTCTTTATTACTTACCACTTAACCACTGATGACAAATCAAAGTAACCAGTAGTAATAGCGTTTATTTAGGAGGTGAATATATTTACAATTGATTGATCACTGGGTAATGACTAATGTCATAAATGTAAAGTTATTATTAGTGCTGATCGTACTCTGTCAGTCAAGCTGCAATGTGGCCACTAGTCTTTGTGACTGCCGAGATGCAAGATGGTGGTTGGAGGTGGTCGACAGGAAACCTTGGACTTTGGTTTCATTCTACTTAACACTCGTTGGTAAGGTGAACCTGTAACCTTGAGAAAACTGATAAAAAACTTGATGTATATAACATTGGTCACTACCCGGTGATCAATAAATTGTAAATACATCTCGGTCCTACAGAAGGTCAACTACGGTGTGAATCACTCAGTGGTAACGTCTCTGACTGTGAAGTTAAGTGACAGGAAATCGAATCTATAAGGGAGTAACCAGTCCCCTCAAAATGACGAGTAGCAAGAAACGCAGATCCAAGGTTTCCTGTCGACCACCTCCAACTACTTGACGATGAACGAGTTGTTTTTTTGAAGTTACACTGATGAATACTAACAAGTACAAAACCTTAATCTAGGTTTTTCAGCTGACACTCATCACCGTTCACTATAGTATATTACGAAGTCAGGTCACTTTTATTGATAGCCTAGTTGAGGAATCGGTTGGTAGCATTAGCCGGTCACCCAATGATAAATTTATTGGTGTCTGCTTGCTTATGACTTTACACTTTCAGAAACGCATATTTATATTGCAGTTTTATACAGTTATATATATATATAGTCATTATTATCATAAAGGATCAATGTAAACTTTTGTGAAATAAGTTAATCCTCTTTTCGTCAGCTACAAAACATTTTTTATTTTCGACCTCTTCCTATAATCATATACGGTTACTAAATTATGTTAGAATAATTATCAATGAGTCAACAAGCTATAATAAATTCAATAAATATTATCAAAACAAAAGAGATTAAGCTAAGAATGATACCATGAGTGGATCAATATTAGCCCACCATCGAAAACCTGGGAGCACTTGACTACTGTCTCGTCCTAGTATGGGAGTCTTCAGCTGTGTGCACCTGACGTCCCGCACGCGGGATCCGAGCGTATGACCTCCAGTCCACCCAACGGTGTTAATATCAATGGGGTATTAGAACCTCACATGGGGGATCGTGGATGCGCGCTGCTTGGGAGCCTCATACTAGGACGAAACAGTAGCCCAGTTTTTCCAGATTTTCAATGGTGGTCTAACATTGGTCCACTCATAATATCGATCTAAACTCAATAATCTTCACAACTCTTTACTGAATAAGGATTGTGTAGACTATTTGTATGAGATTAGGGCAATAAATATTTTTTGTGGAAATCCATATGCATAATAGGTGCAGATCTTTAGTATTGTCTACATGAACTAATAAAATTAAGGTAAATATGTCGATTATAAGTAATGAGGTGCAGGAGGTAGACTGTGGTGCAAGCTGAAAATGTATCACGGAATTTACTGCTAGCTCAATTAGCAAATTAGTTAAGTACATTTAAACAATTAATGTAATTCATATAATTTACCAACTACTGTATTAGCTTTATAATATCTTTCAACAGCTGATTTAATTGTTGCAGTCAGTCGAACTATCATATGACTAGGTAATTCAGGTAATGATCTATCTGTAATTAATTCATAAATTGGTTGTCCACTTCTGTCAATAGCCACTAGTTGATTGTCTAGACCAGATTCCCATAGTGATAAATTCACATCGGACATGTAAATAATAGGACCACCATAGGTTAAAACTTGACTATACGTTATTTTACTTTCATAATTTTGAATCTGTTAGGAAAAAAAGATGATGTTAAAATTTAATAGAAATAAAATAAAACAAGGAAACAGTCAGATTAGAAAATCACTAAACTTCAGGACATTTTCATTGTTATTAGAAGAGTTTTTGTGAAGATTATTGAACTTTTGAAGATCATTTACATGATCAATTAAGTTGAAACAATTATTAAGAATCAGAGAAAATTGAGAAACTGTTTTATTTTAATTTTTGATTCTTTAGAACTTTTCACTCATGAACTTTATAAGCCTTGAATCCAAGATATTCGTGCTTTACTGAGTTAGCATCCAGTCAACATGTTAATAACTGGATCTTAACTCAATAGTTTAAAGTTTTATAGAATAGATAGATTGTGGCATCAGTAAAATTGAAGAATCGCATTTTGTTTTATTTGGATCTCGTCATTTCAGTATACCTACATCTCAATGTTATTGTTCACTAATAACCTTTTGTTTCAAAAGCCCAACGATTTATTCTCTGACATACTAAGTTCAGATAGCCACTAATTTATGTAACGTTTATGACTTTTTTATCATAATAATTAAGGTACGAATTAACCTGTTGTTGATATTAGGAACTGAATTTCTATCAGTATTTAGTTTAAACGTAATACACTAGCTATAAAGTGTAAAGCTCCTAAACTTAATCTGTAGCTACGTCATAAGTAGAGACTATTGAAAAGTTTCATAGTATAGCTAGACAACTATCCTAAAACTTCTTAATTTCAATGATTATCTAGTTACTATAATAATTCATGATCTACACTATCTTCATGTATTCTATCTATTACAATGATATAAAACACAAATTTTTAATAACTATCACAAAAAATCAATTTTCTTTTTATTGATCAATACATTAGAAATAAAAAAACAAAGCTATGTATACCAATTCATCTGAGCAACAAACAAAGTAACATTGTACAGAGAAAAACTTGAACAGAAAAAGACCAAAAAAAAATCAATAAAGAAAACAACAGATCATAAATATTATTGACTTTTGAGTTTAAAATTTTCATTGAATTGTATAATATGTAATTATTTAATTTAGTGTAAATAAAAATCAATATAGAAATAATGTGTTATTTTTCTAGAACCAGTTGTATCTAAGTGAAAAACTGTTTCTTTTTCTTTTTTTGTTTTACTTAGTTCATTAGTAGGAACAATTCAATAGAACTAATTAATAATTCTAAACTGAAATAAACTAATTATTTGTTCAGTATTAAGACCTAGTTTTATTTAAACTAGTATAACTTAATAAACGAAGTAATTCTGTATAGTGATTATTCAATGTTTAATGTTGAATTAATATTGAATAATGCAATACTTAGACAACTTTGTTCACTTTATATAATTCAGTTAAAATAGTAAACTTTTTTTTATATTTGTTCACTATAAAAAAGAAAAAAAACTATTCACTTTTCTTTATCTACTTATAAACAGTCTGTCAATAATATCAACAAGTCAATTGTAATTTTTGCTTTTATAAAGGAAGTCAGTTTACATGTGTCCAGAATTGAAAACTGAAACATAGTTTATAAGAAAATATACAAATTGTTAGGTTGATAATCAAACAATTATCTAGTTATTTTAATAGTTGAATTCATGAGTCGATCTAAGCTAGACCACCATTGAAAAACGGTCAAGTATTTAATGATAGTCTAGCTTAGAACGACTCATGAATTCAAGTTGTATGGATAGTCGAACGAATAAAATTATGGTTTTAATCATATACTACTTAAAGCCTTCCAAGTAAACTTTGCATTTTCAATAAAATAACCATTCATCTTCACTTGGTATTGTTTTGCTTGTATCTTCCCATTGAGGTTTAAGACTGCAACTGGTCAGTCTGTTATTGACATATGTGCATACTGTGTGTATACCTTGATATTGCCTTAGTTCACAAGCTTTTATGAACAAAGATGGATAGTGACTAGCAGTAGAATCCAGGATGCGCGTTTCGTCCTATTTGGGACTCGTCAGCTGGATGTACCTGCATCTCAGAGTTGATGTTCACTCTGGGACTCGAACTCAGTACCATTCGCTGGATGTAATGAGTCTCAGTAGCTGAGTGGATAACGCGATGGCGTTTGAAGTGAATGTTACTGAGTTCAAGTCCCAGAGTGAACATCAACTCTGAGATGCAGGCACATCCAGCTGACGAGTCCCAAATAGGACGAAACACGCATCCCGGATTCCACTGCTAGTCACTATCCATCTGAACTTAAAATAACCATTCATCTTGCTTTCGATTTTCTATTGAAATTGTTTACCTTGAGGGGAACTATGAATATTCAACATTTTAACTTGAAATAAAATTAAGACCAAGGAACTCAAAGCTCATATGTTTAAGTCGGGACTTTGTGTAAACTTGTTAAAGAAAGACTGTTGACCTTATAAATCAACCTTTTAGAGAATCATAAATGCTAAATTCTTTAGTTTTCAGCTTTATGTTTACATTTTTTCCCTCAGATTCCCGAACTCAGTACTCGTCACTTCAAGCAAATGTGTCGTTTAGAAAACCATTGAGCATTAATAACTATCCCATGTTCATTGCTAGTAGTATATGGAAGTTTTTCTTTTACATGGGAACGCTAGAATTCACTGGGGTGAATTTAGTCAGAAAGTATCACTCCAAGTGTCGAGTATTATTTATATACTCACTACATATACATATTAATGCTCACCTTCATGTAAATTATTCCACCTGTCCTTATAACTTTTATCTGATATATATCTTGATCTGTATGTTCGGTCGACCTCGTATTCATAATTGACAATTATTATACTTGTAATAAGACTCATAGCAGCTTATTTTAATCTATCACACGTAATCTAAACAGTGAAAGTATTTAACCATTTTTATCCGTTATGAAGCAAATGTGAATACTCGCTACCGAGGAGTCCCATACTAGGACGAAACGACCATTCAGTTCTTCTAGGTTTTCAATGGTGGTTTAACTTAGATTGACTAGTGATTTCAACTGTGGGAATGAGATAATAAGACTTTACGGTTGTTTTCATCATTATGGTTATTAGTGCGTATCCACTGAGAGTATGAATAATCCTTGGTGTAGATCGAATTTTATCAAAATCAAGATAAACTAAACTGTAGGTGATAAACGTTATTAGCTGAAATCGCTCTATAGAAATACTATTAGTATGTATATACATAATTTATACAAATATGACAGGAATTGATAATTTTGAAATAATCCAACAGTCTATTAACTTTATATTGGGGTGTATGCTACTTATTTCTCTAGACATACAAGACAAATGCATAAAATTGTATTTTCCAAAGACTCTCCTTTTGTGCCTTATGACGGTCACACTCAGTTTATAAGTATAATTCTGTGCTATCCGTGTTTTTTTTATCTTCGAGTACTCGTTGGCTGTTAATTGTACAGTTTTGATTCACATTCTTTCTAAACTCTAGTGAATGACCCTAGCATGTGTGCAGAGATAGATGGTGGCCAACAGTGACATCCAGTTTGCGCATTTCGTTCTATCTAGGACAAGTCAGCTTGATGCCTCTGATCCCAAGAGTTAATTTCTATTTCGAGACTCGAACCCGATTCAGTTTTCTTCAAACGCCATTGCGTTATCCATTTAGCTATATTCCAGGCAGCCACTATTTTGTACAATAAAAAAATGGATTTGACCCTGGCATGTGTTGCAATTAAAAATAAATAACGTTCCAACAAACAATTATACTGAATACAACGAATAAATAATTGTATGTTCTAATTCCAAAAATCTGAAATCTTTAAAAAAAACAATAAAAACGCTACAATGAAGGCTGAAAGATATTTCGTCGTTAAAATCTAGAAAAACGAAATGAAACTTACCAAAGAATCGTTAATGTTTACAGATCCACCAAGTTTAACGTTGAAGAGATTAGCAAAACTTATTGTAGCTGATGCACCCAAATGCCATCGATCCTCTTTTTTAGTATTTAATGAATTTGTATCCAATGTGTCAATTTTTGCCAAAACACCTCCAGCATGAACTGAGTTTATACAATGTGTACCAAAATCGCTTAGAAAACATAATTACATAAAGAAATACATATATGTTTTAATTTGTTAAATACTTAAGAAGAAGAATTGATATGTATAAAAGAACACAAAATAAATTTGAAATTAGTGTATTTTTTTGGACATTATGTGTGGATAAATGTACATATAAGCAATGCCTCAAATGTAGATTGTAGTTAATTATCACCAAGGGACTGATTCTAGACTATAAATATAGACTACCAAAATTTCAGCTTCGTAATCGCATATGCATCATAGTTGATGGGAGACTTTTAGGCCTTAAGATCGACTACTTGTAGGTTAATGAGTGCATTCTGTTAGGGAATTGTAAACCATAATAAAACAAGTGTCTTTTAATATCCGATCGAAACTACTTTCTAATTCAGATCAGTTCCTAATCAAATGATAATTTGGGTGATTTTTTTCCCACTTTATTTATTCAAAAATGATTACGTGACTTAAGCCCACTGTTAGATGAGAGGTACAAACTAAACATAATATTAGATTATATGAATAATTCACCTAACAGTCTAAGTCATTACTTGGAAATCTGAATTAGTAATATATATAAACTTTGCGCGGATTATTTGGCTATCAAAGTCAATAATAGTAATGATTATGGATAAACTGTTAATTCACAATTACTTACCGAACAACTAGATCAGCTAGATAAAATGCATTTGTACCTTGACTTAATGATTTAAAATTCTCATTTGTTACAATTCCTAATGAATTTCTTAATGTATTACCAATTAAACCATTATTAAATAATTCAATAGTTTCCATTGTTACATTTCCATGTTCTAAATAAGCAGCTATATCTAATAGACGATTTTTAAAACGTGGATGTAATTTTGAATCAGGTATTAATTGAATAAAATAACGATTATGACGCATTTCACTTTGAACAATAAGTCCTAATTTTTGACTCTGTTAAATCAAAATAAATAATAGATATTAGAATGTGAATGATATAACCGTAAAACTCAAATATATGACTATTTAACTGATATTAGAAATGTAAACCAGTTCAGTGATTTAACAATAATACACTAACAGCGAAACTTGGGTTCGACAACTAGTGAGGTTTTAAATGTACATTATTTATCAGTCTTATATTAGGACAAATTGTGAACCAATATTTTGAATTAAATTGAAACTTCAATAGTTGAGATCATGAGTTAATTGAAACTAGACCATCATGAAAAACCTGGAAGCACTGGACAGTCGTTTCTTCCTGTTGTGGGACTCCTCAGCAGTGCAATCCACGATCCCGCCTCGCGAGACCGATAGGTCCCAGGTTCGAATCTTGCGAGGCGGGATTATGGATCCCACTGCTGATGAGTCCCACAATAAAGCGAAACGACTGTCCAGTGCTTCCAGGTTTTCCATCGTGGTCTAGTTTCAATTGACTCGTAATCTCAACTATTGAGATTACTATAATATCCACAAAAACCTCTTCTGATACTAAATTAAAACTATTGAATAGGGAAAATCATCTGTTTATAATATTATTAAATCAATAATTTTAGTATCTCCTGATGATCATTTTGAAAATAATTCATCAAATAACATTCAATTAATTTCGTGTTGTTTTTTCCAGTCAATATAATGATATAAAGTACATATTTATCCACTACTCTATAGTCATTACTTTGATTGATCTGTGCCATTATTAACAACGACTTAACCGTACAAATGTACAAATGAAGTGTGTGTACACTACTAATAAACATTGTCGCACAGTAAAAAAAGTGTTCAGTGTTTGTTAGTTCAGCAATTCAAATTAAATTACCGTTGTGTCCGTATTAATTATTAGTCAGTATTTGTTTAAAACTTAGTGTATATATATTAAGCACAATCGTACCTTCATTATATTACAATGGTTTACTTCGCGTGTTTATGATAATGCGAAATTTCCAATCCATATCTACACAACAATTAAGATGAGGAAACTACTTACATTACAGACAGAAAGATATTAATTCAATGTTTAATCTGTTGACATAAGTTTCAGTCATACAACTCTAGTCGAAGGTTTTCCAAAGTAATTTCATGTGAGTATGGAATATCACAATAGTTCTGGTTGTGATTACTTAGTCGAACTTCTAAGTGATATGAAGTTCAATCAAATCACGTTTAATTACAAAGGACAAATTACTGATAAAATACACTTTCTTTTAAAGAAAATGAATGGATTTCGGTAAATAAATCAAATGACTAGTTAAAATATACAATATATTTGTCATTTGAAGAGCTACAGTCTTTATGTAAATGACAAACAAAGAAAACTTGATGGTTAGCATCTTTACAAGAAATATCTTAATTGTATAATTATTGAGATTTATGAATGATAAGAATTGTAAACTGATGATTTACTTTATTCCATTTGTCTTTGATTGTTTGAAAAATAGGACAGTTTCATGATATACCATTAATGAAAGGTGAAGTAATAGTCAGCCTTTATAATTTCAAAATATAATTTAATTTAAAATAAAACAATATAACTGTACTTATAGTAATAGTCTATTAACATAATAACATACTAGTTTTTCACGTAATGTTTCTTTATCCGATGAAAAATCTCCATTAATACGAAAAAACGAATATTCACCACCAACAGCTGAATTAATGGAATAAGCTACTAATGAATGACATTGACTAATTGATTCATAGACTTCAGAGGATAATTTAATTTTCGAATTCTTTATTGGTTCTAAATATCAAATATATATATATGTATTAAGTATATAATAAGTAAATTACACTGGAAACGGCAATAATGTAAATGTATAGAAATGATCGCAATTGTTTAAAAGAATACATGAAGAATTGTTTTATCTAATTATTCTTTAGTTGAATTCTTTCTGAAGTTTGGATTACATCATTTTCATTGGTCCTGAACATGTAATTTTAACTTGAATTGATTGATTTTAACTTAGATTATGCTTTATAATCATTAAATTTCTGTATTTAGTTACTTTATTAAAGAACCATTGAAAGTTTGTTAACTCTACAATTTTTAATCGTTATTTTGATATTTTGGAAAATTCCATCTGAAATCTTATATTATATCAAGTGAATTTCTTACGATCATTTTAACTTTATTGAAATCTTCTCCCTATCATGACATATATATTTATAAATATTTTATCAGTTGTAAGTAGTTGATGAGAACCTGGCGAAATAAAATTAATTCATATCATTCTGCCTTAATCTTTGTGTTTTCTCTCTTCAAACTAATAAATGGATCTATGTGTGGAAAAATTTTGACATTGTTACCACTTAATATTTGTCAAGTAAGTCATATAGTTTGTAACAGAACATTGATAAACTATTTTCGTACTTCTTCCATTTTGTTGTTTGTGTTTTGAACTTCGTGTTTTGCTTATTCTCAACATTCATCTCCCGACTCTTACATATCTACTATTCTACTGACCATTCATCAAAATATTTTGTTCCTTCTCTTTTTCATATATTATGTAACGTAGCAACTTCTTGATTTTCGAATAATTACTTTGATTATTATTAATCATCTCTCTTCCAATTACTCGATGTTAATTTATAATCGAAATGTTACTATGTTGTTATTACGTAACTTATCCACTCGATGAGTATTATTTCATTATTGTAATATATATATTAGTGTAGAGCCATGATGAAAAACTAATTGAAAAGAAATTTCTTCGCTCGATTTGCCCCTTCTTTATTTACCAAATGTCAAAATGGGAATTTTCATACAGTTAATACTTTTAACCGAATATTCAAGAGTGGAAATTCGGATTTTTGATATCTTGTGACATGATGTAGTTTGCTTCTTCAGAATAGTTAAACAAATAACCAAATTATTTACTTATTCTGATGAAGTGACCTACATCATGTTGTGAGGCGTCAAAAATCTATATTTCTCACTCATTAGGATATAACAAAAATATATCTATTCTATCATGAATAACTTTCTAACGAATATTCAGTTATTCCTCTTTAATGACTCACATTAACTCGGCGCCCAAATATTGTGAAACTATTCGTTCAAATTTAGACGAAAGTTCTTATTGAATATTCAGTTAATTTGAAATTATCAAGTGTATTAAACCATCATCAAAAGAAGTTTAATGAAGTACTTTTTGTTATAACTTATTCTGTTTTAAATCTGAGTAGTAGGACTCGATCATCATAAAACTTTGACATTGGTATCACGTCTGTTGATACTACTTATCTAGTCGAATCTAGAGCATTGAAATATTCCTTTTAATTCTACTGTTCCTGCATGTGGAATATAAGATGTTTGCAACAAATCATCACTGTTTGCTAACTAATATCATGTTTATCTAGTCATCAGTGCTGATAGAATTGCAATATATGGTCAGTAATTTAAATCACTCATTATGTTTGTGCGGTTTTCTGAAGTTTATTTAACATAAAAACAATAATTAGGAAACACTGGACATTGATTCACGTTTAAATAACTAGCATTCGTTGACCAGGTGTATGTTTTCTGTTTTTACGAACCTGATCACTGAATAACGTATAACTATATATAATGTGATTTTCCACTTTCTGAATGTCAGTCTAGATACTGCAACCACGAATAACAGATTATTTCCTGTAGAAAAAATCAGTGCAATATATCATTTGACGTTTAATGAAATAAGTAGTAAAAAGTAAATACAAGCTATGTTTCTATTGAAATAAGAAAATCATTTTATTATTGTCTTGCTACCCATTAGTAACCTAACACATAAAACTAAAATAATGAGTCCACGTTTCATTTTACAAGTAATAATTTAAATTAAAGAATAACGTTAAAATCAATTACATACGAACAGTTATATCATCCGGAATTAGAAAGTTCCCGTCTGCAGAACGTCGACATAGTGAATATCTTTCCACATCTATTATAGGACCTCTTTCACGGTTGACCAGATTATCCCATCCAAATCCAGGTAATACACTAAGAAATTTTTGATTTGGTAAAAGTGTACATTCTTTTGGTAAAGAATATGAAACGGTTTGATCAATGGGATATTCATTTGGTGATTTCTGGATAACCAATGAGTAACTATTTGTGATAATTAGGACACTACAAAAAATAGAAAATTTTAGCGAAATCTTAATTATTCTTTGTTTAAAAAATACATAGATTGGATTTACTGCTTACTGTTCTCATCTGAGATAGTATTCAAAATCAGGGCACACTAAGTAGCTGTTTTATCCTATCATAGAGCGTTTCAGAAGTGCACATCAAAGATCTATCAAGAAGTTGAACTCAGGACTTTCAAGGCTTTAGGGGAACGCTTGACTATTAGAACTGTTTGATAGGCTTCCAATGCCATAATTACCGTAGAGATCAGTCTGTAATGAAAACAACCTACAAATTAAACCAACTTCCACGAAATTATATCAGATGAATAATAGTTAATACTACAAAACACACTACAACCAACCATTTTATTACATTTCTTTTGTTATCTTTGTTTTAATTTATGTTTTCTTGTCTCTTTTCCAATAATAATAATAATACTTTTTAATATAATCCATATTTGGAAAACGTCATTAGACTTGCTACCACTTTATCTGAACACGTTTGTAAAGTTTTTAATACAACATTATAGTATAATTTACAATTATTACGATAAATTTATCATCTTTTTTTGCATAAGTACAGTCAGTTTGCTATTGATTGTTTCGCCCACATTAAAAAAACGTTGAACATGTTTCTTGAGATCAATTACATCAAAATATTATTTCAATTATTTTGTTTTTGCATAATATAGAAACTCTGCTTGAACTGCTTATGACTTAATGGGAATGAGGAGACAATCGGCATTAGATACATATAGGAGAGAGAAGCAGATTCGAACAAATCCTAACTATGAATTATAGTTTAGACTTTGAGGGTTGTGTAAAGAATTAATGATTTTTTTAATAATGAACCATGTTACTTAAATCGCACTCTTCATAATTATATCATTGTAAGTCATTTTAGTGGATATATGGAAGAGAAGAATTGTTTTCATATCAAAAAGTTTGTTGTTATTTTACAAAGGTTTATCAAAGGATTTGATAGTTTCAAATAAATTGAGCATTGGGTAGAAAGCTAATCATAAACATGTTTTTTTTCGTGATATCCCAACGAGTAGCAAATTATATTTTTGACGTTTCACGACGTTTCATAAGTCACTTCTCCAAAGTAAATAATGATTTATTTATTCTGAAGAAATGACTTGCATCAAGTCACGAAACGTCAGAAATAAAATTTTTGTCGCCGTTATTACATTTAATTATTCTTCTATGCGTTTTACATAGTCATATTAATAATATTTACTGAATAGAGTTTTGATCACCATAGTTTTCTCTTTTGAAGAAGTAAATAGCCTAGCCAGATTATAATTTATGGACGAACCAATCAGATTTATGATAACAGGTCCTGGACTTTGGCGCAACTTCCATTCATCCATTTTGCTGGATAGCATTTCGGTATTTTAAATGATGTCAGTTCATGATGAAAACCATAAATCTAGTTCCTAACCCTAACCATCAACTGTAAATCATAATTCTAATTCCTCGCACCGCTTTATAACCCTCATTTAGCCATAGTATGTAGGTGGACATTCTCAGTGGTACTTTAGTGTCACTCAAAGGTCATCCATAAATTAGTATCACCAATAGTCAAATATAAAAACTGGTCTTATCTTTTTATTGTACCCAAGCTGTTTACCACTTTTTAAAATATTGGATTATTGCTAATCGGGCCTATAATTAATTGTGCAAGATTTTTTCTTCATATTACCATAAATAATTGATGAATATAATCTGAAGAGAAGAAAGAAAACAAATTGAATATTATGGACAAAAATCACATGCTACCACTAGTTATGCAATTATTAAGCATCTTCATTGATAGATTAAAGTAAGGATTCAATTAAAGAGTTTTGACAATATTTTATAGATGAGATCTTATTCGATTGTACTCTATCAAGAAGTTCACGATAATTCAACAGAGACTACATTCTTTTTGAGTGATATTGTTATCTGAAACTTTATGTTTATACTTTTAGTTAGGTCAAATGAATAAAATTTGTAAACTAACACTAAGAGAGTTTTTTTATTTGAAAAAGTAATCATAACTATGTGTAGTAGTTTTGCACCAATGTGATATTTTATAAGTAAAGAATGGAAATAGTCACAAATACTGAACAGAATAACGAAATATATACAAAGTGGCTATAGTGTTTTGGTGTATAAAAGTTTCAAAAGTACGAAAAATAATCATATCTTTAAAAAATCAATAATAACATGATTTTATCCTGGAAAAATGTTTTAATGATTTGACATGCCTTGATGTTAGTTATTTTAATTTGAATCGACTTATTCAGACTTCTAACTCTTCATGTAGTTCTTCTAGATTTAATGTCAGTCTCAAACACGGGTAAAGGAGAAGGGTTAGACATGGGGTCGGCAACCTTATTATGTAGAAAAACATCTTGCTGAAAGAAAAAAACTAGTCATGTTATGTTGTTTAATTGAACTTGAAATAAACGATTAAACTTTAACATGGTAACTGTAAACAACTTTATAATGTTTTACTGGTAGGTTCTTTAAAAATAAATAACATTACGAAATTGAATTTTATTCAAACGAGCCCGTATAGAACTGAAATTAGTATTAGATAAATAATTCGATGAATAATGAGTCATTCTATTATCACTGGTTAAATTTTGTCCAGATTTAAACTAACTAACAATGTAACTTATTAACGATAGATCATAATTTACATTCTAAACTGGTTTCAATTAGATACTAGTCGTTTGAAACTAAAATCTTTTTTATATTATTAATATAAATATACTTATTCTTTGTAAATATAATCGGTTATATTGATAACTTCAATAGTTGTCTGAATTATCGGTTGTTCGAATGATGTTACGACCACCTCTCTTTCATTCATTGATGAATGAATATGAACATACGTATGGAATGTGAATAATAATTCGTATTATTGATGACAAACACTACAAGTCCTAAATATATATGAGTAATACCTTATTGATATGTTAAATGAAGTCACAAGTTCTCCAGTTCTAACTTAACTTTGATGGAGAAAAAAAATCCTGTATAGATGTGTGGATTGTGGATTTCTTTTACTTATATATAATATGAGTCATAATATAAGGTTAATATTATTTTCGTACGATACTTTTTACGCAAAATGTTGAACATGAGGGTGGTAATGTCTATTCTGTGATTTCAAAATGAGTGTAACCGATGTTATTTAACAAACTAATCAACATTACTATGTTCTTGCTTTAAGTAGTTTCATTTAAAAAATTATCTTAAATTAATTCAGCTCTTATTTAGTGTGAACATGTAGTAAGGATATAATTATTTTATATGTATGTATGTATGTTTGATATGGATAGGTAGCTATGTCTGACAGCTTGCGATTAATTTAGAGGAATGATGATTAACTGATGATCTTGCATGGTTTGATGATGATGCTAAGCCAATTAATTCACCGACTATCAAACATATAAAAAAGATGGGTTTTGTGGATATTATAGTAATTTCAATGGTTAGGATCATGAGTCAGTTGAAGCTAGACCACCATAGGACGACCGTCT